CCTTTCATCCTCCCTTTCATCCTCCCTCACATCATCACTTCCTCCCTCCCTCCCTCCCTCCCTTTCATCCTCCCTTTCATCCTCCCTCACATCATCACTTCCTCCCTCCCTCCCTCCCTCCCTCCCTCCCTCCCTCCCTCCCTCCCTCCCTCCCTCCCTCCCTCCCTCCCTCCCTCCCTCCCTCCCTCCCTCCCTCACTCCCTCCCTCCCTCCCTCCTCCCTCCCTCCCTCCCTCCCTCCCTCCCTCCCTCCCTCCCTCCCTCCCTCCCTCCCTTTCATCCTCCCTCCCTCCCTCCCTCCCTCCCTTTCATCCTCCCTCCCTCCCTCCCTCCCTCCCTCCCTCCCTCCCTCCCTCCCTCCCTCCCTCCCTCCCTCCCTCCCTCCCTCCCTCCCTCCCTCCCTTTCATCCTCCCTCCCTCCCTCCCTCCCTCCCTCCCTCCCTCCCTCCCTCCCTCCCTCCCTCCTCCCTCCCTCCCTCCCTCCCTCCCTCCCTCCCTCCTCCCTCCCCCCTCCCTCCCTCCCTCCCTCCCTCCCTCCCTCCCTCCCTCCCTCCCTCCCTTTCATCCTCCCTCCCTCCCTCCCTCCCTTTCATCCTCCCTCCCTCCCTCCCTCCCTCCCTCCCTTTCATCCTCCCTCCCTCCCTCCCTCCCTCCCTCCCTCCCTCCCTCCCTCCCTCCCTCCCTCCCTCCCTCCCTCCCTCCCTCCCTCCCTCCCTCCCTCCGTCCCTTTCATCCTCCCTCCCTCCCTCCCTCCCTCCCTTTCATCCTCCCTCCCTCCCTCCCTTTCATCCTCCCTCTCATCCTCCCTCCCTCCCTCCCTCCCTCCCTCCCTCCCCTCCCTCCATCCCTCCCTCCCTTTCATCCTCCCTCCCTCCCTCCCTTTCATCCGTCCCTCTCATCCTCCCTTCCCTCCCTCCCTCCCTCCCTCCCTCCATCCCGCCCTCCCTCCCTCCTCTCCCTCCCCCTTTTTTTTTTCCCCCCCTTTTTTAAAAAAAAATTTTTATTTTTTTCCCCCCCCCCCCCCCTCCCTCCCTCCCTCCCTCCCTCCCTTTCAACCCTTTCCCCCCCTTTCATCCTCCCCCCTCCCTCCCTTTCACTCCCCCCCTCCCCCCTCCCTCCCTCCCCCTTTTCCCTCCCTCCCTCCCCCCCCCTCCCCCCCCTCCCTCCCTCCCTCCCCCCTCCCTCCCTCCCCCCCCCCTCCCCCTCCCTCCCCCCTTTTTAACCTCCCCTCCCCATCCTCCCTTTCCCCCACTCCTCCCTTCTTTCCCCCTCCTCCCTCCCTCCCTTTCCTTTCCCCCCCCCTCCCTCAAAAATAAAACTAATTTTAGTGGCCATCTTCAAGACCGACATTCAATCCGAAAGTTGTGGACATACAAAAACGAAAAGTCAACAAATGGCAACTTTTGGCTTTTTAAAGGGCAATATTTGGTTTAAAGAGATCACAACATACTTGGGGAAGCCAAACTTTTAAAATTGGAATTTCTTTCCTACTCGATCAGTAATTTTAACCCCTTTAAAAAAAGTTTTTAAAAAACCCCTTTTTGGGGAAATTAGGTTTAAAAAACTTTCTAAAAAATTTTTTTGCGAATTAGGTTACACTCCCGTATTCCCATTTTATTCTGCGAAACACGCAATTGTGTATTGGTTTAACTTCAGTTACTGGTTGTGAATATATACAAATATTTCAGAGTCTATGCGATACCCTGTGAACATGGACAACCGTCTGTGGTTCCCAAGCAGTAACCGACATAAGAAATATCGTAACGGTAAAAGGTCTAGAAAAAGATAGAGCTCGAGGCCATTATCGAAGAACTACGTCATGAAGGAAACTCGGTCCACTACGTCGATGAGCCGGACAAGGTTATTTAAATTTTTGAATGAAGTCTCCTTGAAATTGTTGCCATGTATTGTATTCAGTTTAAAATAAATATAAAATACTTTAATATTTTAGGATGGTTTTCAATTTTGGTAGTGATTGTTTTTTAATTTGCTAAACATTCTTTAAGGAAAATCCTCGGAATTCGAAGATGCTTTTGGTCTACCAGAACCAGACGCAAAAGGATATATACTTAAACAGTTTTGGTACCGTCTTGTTTATGGACAGTACGCACAGGACAAATCATTACAACTTGCCACTGTTTTTGCTCGCCTGTAGAACACCCCAAGGATACCAGGTTATAATTGGTGACTTTTTTAGTTGGTTTTTATAAGGCAAGAGTCTGATTCACAGTATATGTCTTTTTTGTTTCGGTTAGAAATAGAATGATCAATGATAAAAGTTAATTATCAATTTAAACGTAATATATGAAGGTGGCCCAAAATACCTACCCACACGGTTCCTGTCCTATGAGCAGATTCTAACCAATTAGACCATTGATTGAGGTGAAGAAATCACAGATTAAGTGTCGAGATCATGTATCCGCCAGATCTTAAAATGGTCATAAACCCGGTTTAGTTGTAAACAACCAACTATTATTTTGGGGAAGCACTTCAATTATCAAACCACATGTGTCTGGAGTTCCTAACTCAAAACGTTCTCACTTTGTGGTGACAAAAGAGAAAAAAGAGGGAGTGGTACGCCACTCCCTCTGTAATTGATGAAAATTTTACGAATATTTCAGGAAATCTAAGTTGACCCATATCTAAACTCTCTGAAATTTGCAAGCACTTCTAATGCCAATTATGTGAGTTATTTAAGGTGGGTTGCTAATTTTGGGCCAGCCTGAAGTATTACTCTATATATGTAATATATATAGGTTATAATTATCATGATTAATTTTACCCTGGCCTCAGGTGTCGCTTTTTTCATATCGTGTTCTAACACCGAACGGCGAGGAGATCATAGCAGAAGCCCTGTCGGTCATAAAGGGGTGGAATCCGGGAATGGCCCCTACATACTGTATGACCGACCAGGACATAGCGGAGATCAACGCCATGAGGGCAATCTTTCAAGGAATTCGTCCCTTTTGGTGCGACTTCCATGTTAACAGGCTTGGGATAAAAGAATTAAGTGCATCTTCAAGCTAAAAGACCTCGTAAAAGAGTTAGTTTCCTGCCACATTGATTTTCATTTAGGAAGTTTTGGAATGATCAGGATCAGTGATCACTCGATTGGAAAATTTGCAATTTATACGATTTATAACATGATATTTGATATTGCATTTAAGTGTTTATTGTGTGTTTTGGTACATAGAATTGTTATTCAAGTTAATTGTCATACTTTCTGCAGACGTTCCCCTGCACAGAGATACGACAATGACAGAGGTATAGTTTTGATTTTGTTAGCATACGTGGGCAGGTTTCCATCAGCGCTCACGATCGCTTAGTTAGCGCTTTTTAAAAAAAGCCGTTTTTAATCGATTATAAGCGGTTCAAAAAAATCGCTTATAGTCGACTATAATTGATGTAGTAAATTAAAAAAGCGCTTTTGTTTCCAGTAGGATTGGCTATTACAAGTGGTGGAAAAGCGGTCGGCCAGATAAGCGATTCGTAGTCGTTTTTTTGAACCATTTATAAGCATTTAAGCGCTTATAGGTTAAAGCTATAAGTTGGTTGCAATTTAGCTGATTATAAAGCGCTAAATAAGCGATTATCAGCGCTGATAACAAAATTTCATTTGAGGAAACCTGCCCATAGTGTTGCACTAGTTTTAATGATTTCAGCTAAATTACATTGTTTCCTTCAAAACCTGGATCATATATATTAGAGGCATTTGGACAGATCCACGGCTATATCTAACTTAAGTTTTATTTTCAGCAAAAGTTGAAGCGTTCGAATGCATGCTGTATTTAATGTACGCAGAGACCCCAACATCCACCTTCCGACGCTCGAATCGACCAATATTTCGAGGAAAGATTATGGAAGGTGATGACCAGTGACCTCTGTCTACGTAATCCCACATTTAGTAGCTATGTCCTCTATTACGCAGATCGAAGAGAAGTAAGATTTTTTGTGAAATTCTTAATTCTTTCGTTGGCATCATACATTTTGAGTTTGTTAAAACTCGAATTGAATGACGAAATGATGACGGCTGTACCGGGTACCCAGAACAAAAAAGAGGCTTGAATGTTGACAAGCAGATGTTCAATTACCTTAAAATATCTCTTTATAAATAATCTTTTTCAGTATTGGGCTAGTGCCGTACAGAAATCCTGGAAGCTCTTGCTGGGGGTCAGAACAAACAATGGAATAGAGTCGCTTAACAATGTTTTGAAACACAGAGTGTTTAATGGCGTATCCGCCCACATCGTTCCTTCCTCAGCTGCTAGCCTCTCTGGTTTTTGACTTTATCCCAAACAGGCTGCAGACGTATAGTCACAAGGTAAAAGTTTTTAAAAACATAATGCTTACCAATGAGAATATGAGCAAACAATAACGATCGTCGAATATAAACATATTTGATTTTCGGTTTTTATTTCTTCGCTAGTTGTTTTATAGAATCAGTTCGCATGCATAAACCATGAGCGCAAAGTTAGCCCAATTAAGCCCATAGACAATAGTCATATAGATATCAAGTTACAAAATTATAAAATAAATTTATTCATCAGATGATATCAGACTCCGTGAGTTATAAGAGGATCGGTTTCACAGAACCATGTGTTACCATCATTCTTTAATGGTATCCCGTCTAAGAATCTCATCTTGGTGAAGGTTTATATTTATAAATGTACAGCTTCTTTGTTTTCGGATATTTGACATTTTTTAAACCCAAATGTATGTCACTACAAAGTTATTGTTCAGGATATGAACTTAGTAATTTTCAGGAAAGTTATTTTCGATCCTTCGAAAAAACTAAAGACGACATCAGGAAACTGGGTGACCAATATGTTTGTCAGGACAAATGATTCTGAAGGGAAAATCCCTTCGCGTACAAGGGAATTAATACTTAATAGACTAGGATTTGTTGCAACTTGTCTCCAAAAATCTGATTTAGTCGTTATTGAGTCTCGCACTTTGATTATCTTTCAAGCAATTTCTACTTTTTTCTGAATAGAATTATTGATGACAGTTTCTGATAAAAGTAACAGAAACTGTAATATTGAGCCTATTCTGAAGAACATCCAGAAATTACTGAATGTTAGTTTCACCATTAGCTGACCAATAACTATTGCAGACCACAGTTTATAGAAGTAATTTACCATGAGCTAACATCATGATCAGATACTAGAATCCTTTCTAAATTCCTTTCTAAACTTGCAAAAATCTTAGGTATCTCTATCGGAAGAAGTCAGGTGTGACTGCATAAGATTCCGTGGCACACCGACGTTACCGTGCAAACATGTGCTAGCGATTTTGAGGATATATGAAATTGACTGGACGCAACTCCCGACCACATTCAGGTAAAACTTTTTTTTTGTTTAACATGATTGCCTCACGATAAAGTCAATAGGTTATTTCCTGTCGGCGAACCCTTGTCGAGTTCAAAGTTTGGCCTTGAATTTAAATTGAAGCTATCATGATCAAGGTTCCATGATCAGGGTGAAATATTGACTGAGGACGTCCGCCAAAAATCGCAGATTTTCAGATCACCCCCTCCCCTGTCCGGGTGTGTCCGAACAGGGGACACACTGTTCTGGATTTTCAGAAATCAACCCCCCCCCCCCCCCCCCCCCGTGTCCGTATTTCAGGATTTATCCGAATCCTGAAATACGGACCAAAACCACCCCACCTCCCTGACTTCATAAGTAAATAGTCTGGCCCTGGGACATTGCTCTCGAATTCAATCGAGATCAAAATGTGATGGTTATAACAAGTGTGCCCGCATCCGTTTACTTCATTGTTGTATCTCTGAACTGTAGTAAAACTTAGCCTCGTATTTAAACCCTAATTTGTAATGAACCAAAGCTTTAAACCGAAGTTTTAGAACTTGATTCGGAACAGCGAATGTAAAAATTTCCGGATATATTCAATATTGTTGGTTGCTTGCTGAAACGGCTGCTGATCATGCATCAATCTTAGTGAATTAATTTCATCAGACGTCAATATTATTGAACTTTAATTTGCTAAAAATTGTTAACAGAAAATATAAAACTATTTTTAAAACTGTTTCTTCTCACTAGCTCACTAGCAATTTGTAACTTAAAGTTTTGGCTATCAGCTGTCATCCTATAAATACAAATTATTGTTAAAAGTTGACCAAGATTTTTTCAGACTAAGTCCTCATCTCAGCGTCGACAGCACTCTAGGTAGAAACGTTTCTACTGAGTTACCTCAGCAAGTTTATTTTGGCCCCGACCGTGACCATCAGCTGCCGGATGAAGATGAGGGATCATGCACTAATGAACCAATCGAAGTAATCGATCAATCGTGTTCTAGTGAGGAGGTACCAGGCCCCAGTACTGCAGATAAGGATCTTGACTTTAACAAGTCATTTAGCATCTTAAGTGACCTCAAGACTCAAATGTTCAGGTAATATTATATATTATAATTAGCAGAAGCTCTCTAAGGGAAGAATTTTATTCCTGATTCCTCCTCGATCATTCAAAATATTGGTTCACTTAACAAAAATGTAATTTGATTGAATTAATGAGTCATTAACATAGTATCACTACAAAGAATCCTTATTTTAACGTAATTTGCTTCTATAAAGATCAATGTCTCAGACATAGCCTCATGAATTGAACTCGATTTCAATCATTGTGCTCACAATCATTGCAACAAATGGTTATCAATCAATCGAACCAATCATTTGATAATCAACCGAATGGATCAAAACCACAATAATCAGATACGCAACACCTTTCAAAATATATCTACAGGATTCCTGCATCTAAAAGGGGAGAACTCCTCAAACTTATGGAAGACACTGTTAGAGACCAGCTTATACCCTCGTAAGTCTTTAAAATTTAACTACTTCCTTCTGAATTCAGATGTCATATTCTAGCATTAATAATACTCTTAAAAAATCTTGAGAAAAGGCCCTAAGGTGTGAAAGTAACCTAAATCGGTATATTTTTGGACGCTGATTTCGAATCACTTCCCGTAGGGTAAAAACGCTTCCCTGGAAATTGATAGGCAAAAACCTGTTTTGGTCACGTGACATTATAGGGGGGGGGGGGTGACATGTCTCCAATGTCTCCAATGTCTCTTGTCTTTTTTGAAAAGATAGGGTGCAGAGACATGTCCTGGAGACATTGGAGACATTGGAGACAAAGCTTTTGGAGACATTGGAGACATTGGAGACAAAGCTTTTGGAGACATTGGAGACATTGGAGACACTGGAGACGTAGATGTATGATTGGAGAAGGAGGAGGATCTAGGAGGAGGATGACCCAGGAGGAGGACTCAGGAGGAGGAGGAGGAGGAGGACTCAGGAGGACTGAAAAGGAAGAGGACTGAGGAGAACTGAGGAGGAGGAGGACTGAATAGGAGGAGGAGGAGGGGGACTGGGGGAGGACTGAGGATGAAGAAGACTGACGAGAAGGATGAGGAGGAGGACTCAGGAGGAGGACTGATGACTGAGGAGGATGAAGAGGAGGAAGACCCAGGAGGAGGAGGACTGAGGAGGAGGATGAGGACTGAGGAGAACTGAGGAGGATGGCTGAGGAGGATGGCTGAGGAGGATGACTGAGAGGGAGGAGGAGGAGGAGGAGGAGGAGGAGGAGGAGGAAGAGGACTGAGGAGGAGGAGTAGGACTGAGGAGGAGAAGGATGAGGACCTAGGAGGAGGAGGACCCAGGAGGAGGACTCAGGAGGAGGAGGAGGAGAACTCAGGAAGAGGACTGAGGAGGACTGAGAAGGAGGAGGACTGAGGAGTACTGAGGAGGATGGCTGAGGAGGATGACTGAGGAGGATGACTGAGGAGGATGACTGAGGAGGAGGAGGAGGAGGAGGAGAAGGACTGAGGAGGAGAAGGAGAAGGTGTAGGAACTAGGAGGAGGAGGACCCAGGAGGAGGACTCAGGAGGAAGAGGAGGAGGACTCAGGAGGAGGACTTAGGAGGAATGAGAAGGAGGAGGACTGAGGAGAACTGAGGAGGAGGAGGAGGAGGACTGAATAGGAGGAGGAGGAGGGGGACTGGGGGAGGACTGAGGAGGAGGAGGACTGACGAGAAGGATGAGGAGGAGGACTGAGGAGGAAGAGGAGGAGGATGAAGAGGACCCAGGAGGAGGAGGACTGAAGAGGAGGATGAGGATGAGGACTGAGGAGGAGGAGGAGGACTGAGGAGGAGGACTGAGGAGAAGGAGGAGAAGGAGGAGGACCTAGGAGGAGGAGGACCCAGGAGGAAGACTCAGGAGGAGGAGGAGGACTAAGGAGGAGGATGAGGAGGAGGACTGAGGAGGAGGATGAGGACTGAGGAGGAGGACTGAGGAGTACTGAGGAGGATGGCTGAGGAGGATGGCTGAGGAGGATGACTGAGGAGGATGACTGAGAGGGAGGAGGAGGAGGAGGAGGAGGAGAAGGGCTGATGAGGAGGAGGAGGAGGAGGAGGAGGACTCAGGAGGAGGACTCAGGAAGAGAACTCAGGAGGAGGACTGAGAAGGAGGAGGACTGAGGAGAACTGAGGAGGAGGAGGAGGAGGACTGAATAGGAGGAGGAGGGGGACTGGGGGAGGACTGAGGAGGAGGGGGACTTGGGGAGGACTGAGGAGGAGGAGGACTGACGAGAAGGATGAGGAGGAGGACTGAAGAGGAGGACTGATGATTGAGGAGGAAGAGGAGGAGGATGAAGAGGAGGAGGAGGACCCAGGAGGAGGAGGACCCAGGAGGAGGACCCAGGAGGAGGAGAACGACTGAGGAGGACTGAGGAGGAGGTGGAAGAGGAGGAGGAGGTGGAAGAGGAGGAGGAGGAGGAGGAGGAGGAGGAGGAGGAGGAGGAGGAGGAGGAGGAGGAGGAGGAGGAGGAGGAGGAGGAGGAGGAGGAGGAGGAGGAGGAGGAGGAGGAGGAGGAGGAGGAGGAGGAGGAGGAGGAGGAGGAGGAGGAGGAGGAGGAGGAGGAGGAGGAGGAGGAGGAGGAGGAGGAGGAGGAGGAGGAGGAGGAGGAGGAGGAGGAGGAGGAGGAGGAGGAGGAGGAGGAGGAGGAGGAGGAGGAGGAGGAGGAGGAGGAGGAGGAGGAGGAGGAGGAGGAGGAGGAGGAGGAGGAGGAGGAGGAGGAGGAGGAGGAGGAGGAGGAGGAGGAGGAGGAGGAGGAGGAGGAGGAGGAGGAGGAGGAGGAGGAGGAGGAGGAGGAGGAGGAGGAGGAGGAGCTGTGTCTCTAATGTCTCCAATGCCCCTAATATCCATTTTATGTCCCTAATGTCCCCAATGTCTCCAATGTCTTCAATGTCCCCAATGTCTCCAATGTCTCCAAAAGCTGTGTCTCCAATGTCCCCAATGTCCCTAATGTCTCCAATGTCTCCAAAAGCTGTGTCTCCAATGTCCCCAATGTCTCCAATGTCTTTGTCTTTTTCGAAAAGATAAGGTGCGGGAGACATTGGAGACATGTCACCCCCCCCCCCCCCCACCCCCATTATAGTTAAACACGAATTCGAATGTTTAGGGCTCGGGTTATAGGTTTAGGTCTATAGTTAGGGTCACGGATATAGCTTCAGGGTTATGGTTAGGATTTGGATTAGGGTTAATGTAAATTTTGAAACCGTTTTGTTCGACTGCAAAACCATTAAAACCAAATTCACGTGATAATGTTAAGGCAAGCGAATGAGTGAGAATATAGTAACAAATAGTAACAATATTACCAACGCATGTAGTCACTCACTAGTCACAGCACACAATTATACTAATAAACTGGTATAAACGAAACCGGCATATCCAAAGATTTTAAATCAATCTATTGAATAAATTTAAAGATATCAATTTCTTTCAGGGTTCGGAAGCTAGGAGAAAATGCCCAAATCCGCCGAGACGATTTTGCAGCCACTTTACCAAAGCCAACGAAGAAAAAGCGGAAACTATTTCCGAAATACACTGGTCAACACAGCGACAGTGATTTCGAGTAAAAATTTATGACCATTCTGCCTTTATAATTAATATTATATCCATGATGCACTGTTATATTGAGCACAAAAAATATCTATAATTTTGAAACTTTAAGATTTGCGATTCCGCTTTTTCCTCGTTTGATTTGGTAAAGAGAACAGAGAAGACAGAGAATTAATTTGTTGTTTACTATCGGATACGTGTTTGGCGCTCAGAATTAAATTGACTATATAATTCGGCCGGTTTTGATGAGCGAGTTCATGCTTCTGCCACGTGTTTTATTTTGCAATCCAACTGCAATAGAGAAATCCTCACTGAATTAGGCACTTATAGTTGCACTAATATAATAATAATATGATGCGATGGATAATTTCATTTAGAGTAATTTTGAGATTTTTAGATATCAGTGATATTAAAGTTGTCACATAGGAGTTTACCCACACTTGCACAGATTAAAAGTTTTAATAAAGCTATCTTATACTTAAATATCGATCATGGTCGGTATTATATAGGTTTGAGGAAAATCGTATAATTACAGAATCTGAAGTATCAAAATATAATGATTGATTAGTGGTATTGGTCAGTTACTGTTAATTGCTCCCGATATTGTTAATTTCATTCAGACTCTTTGAGTTCTATTTAACAACTGCAGTTATTTTATCACTTTTATAAGGCGATCAGCGATATATTTTGTTAATGCAATGATTTTTTTGCCTTCATTTATTTTATCAACTGTAGCGTTTATATTAAAGATTACCGATCTTTACATCTTTACATCTTTACATGTTGTTATTATAATTCTAACAGCTCATTGACGAGTCGTCATAAAATGTTGTTTTAATTCTTCAAACATGCAGGTAGCTGGTACAAGAACCAGATAACATTCTTGCGACGTAATTAATATAATTAATTGACATAATAAAATAATAAAATATGTTACACTGTATTTAAGTATATGTAATATGCAACCTGGTCCTTGTGCCGAAAATTCAATTAGCTAATTACCGGCCATGCGTTGCATAAATTCCATATTAGGGCCCATTTCGGTCACAAAGCGGAGCTTAAATTGAGTTTATTGCACGCGCGGTTGACAAATTATGTGAAAAAACTGTCCTGTCACAAACAATGCGCGTTATAGAGGTGACCAATGAAATCACGGCATTAAAAACACGTGATAGCGCGCTGGCGAGTGAATTAGTAAAATCCTATGGATTTTACTAATTCACTCGCCAGCGCGCTATCACGTGTTTTTAATGCCGTGATTAACGCCGTCCCTCCTAATACATATTTAACAACCTTGCTTAACTTAGGGAGTCCTGGAGTGTGGCTAGCAGGAGTCACACTGATCTGTGGGCACGGCGAGAAGGCCTCCCTCTTCACTAGGAGGCCAGAAACCGTTGACCAAAACAGAAGAGAGAGATGAGATCACGTGATGTTACAAGGCACTCACGTACAGGCTCGCAGGCAGCTCTCTCCAGTTTCCCAACGTAAGACTAAGAGACGGGAGCTCAAATACGATTGAAGCATATATCAATATCAGCCTACAACCTGTAACAATTGCGCTGCATATTAAAAAATAAAACCAGTCTGCAGTGAAACTAATTTTGTTTAAGCATAAAATCCAGTACTTCTCGCTGGCTAATATTGGTCACGTTATTTATCAACTGACTGTACCTCGTGACTCGGTGACCACGACAAACTGGTGCCGTACCATAATGCATAATTTATAACATATGGGGAACCCAGGCTATTATATTTGTGCTCATAATCAATCGAATCAATCGAATAGAGGTTACGAGCGCGCTAAACCTTACCTGGGGACCTCAGGCTATCGTGTTCATTAAATTTAATAAAGAATGACAGGCTGAGCGCGGCCCAGTAAGCTAAACCACTCTACGCTCGATCTTCAAAAATTTTGTTAAAGAGCCCCGGACAGTTGAAATGTGAAACCAACTTGAATGGATGTATTACGAGTTAAACAAACTATAACTTTTTTTCCATAAATAAATATTTGTACATGGCTCCATTGGATTCACGTTCAATTCCTTTGCAAGCTCGGTGAGGCACGTGGTGATCCGCCGATTCTACCGAAGGTTGCGAGAAGAATTATTTGATGCGCGGCGCGAACCCAATAGTGCATCGCATCAACACAATAATGTACGTCCATTGGCACATCACGCTCGACACATACAGTGTCATTTCACATAGCCATGTGTCTACGCGTACTGCGGTGACACCTTGTTTCACTGCAAGCGTGAAGCGGAGAGGTATGCCTCTGGAGTTATTATTAGAGCAACAGTGGTCATGATCATTACAATTATCTAAGGGTGATTCCGTACAATATATGTTTCCATATATTGACCGTCGACGAGTCCAACTTCGGCGCGCGTCCTGGTAGGTTATAACCTACAATCATTATCCTGTAGAGATACTGATAATGACCACAGCCCCCTACTGCCTACGGAGAAGAAGAAACATCATCCAATTTTTGTACCATTGTTTCTTATTGAGAATGAGAGATTCTTCACAATACCTTTGTCATCCTTTTTTGGAATGATTCGAGCGTGCTTTGTCTCTACAAGTACAATCGATCCTCGAGATTTTTCTAAAAGGGCCCCCGACAATTTAAACCAACTAAAAAAAAAAATTTACTATCGAATGTATTGCACGGCACCCGACTACCATGAGCTGCCGCTACCATAAGCTGCCGCTCTGGTTAGGGCAACCAAAAACACTTCAAATAATGAATACGTGACCCCAATATTACATTTACGACTGTATATATATATTTACGAGTGTATAACTATATATAGATTTAGACACTCTCGAGGCCAAATAAAAAGAGTCATGCGAATATTAATAATAAAGTGAATCCCTTTTGAAATTATACCAAGATATTTATTGGGAATGGGAGAATTGAAAGATAGAATTTCCGCTTAAATTAATCTGCGTAATTTCTTACCAAGTGCTGTCCCTATGCCGATACAGCTAATTGTATTGTGAAGGGAACCGAGCGAGAGACTAGAAAGCTAGGTAATCACATCACATTAACCTGTGAGTATAACAAGGGAACAAGGAAACAATATATCTGTATCTGGTGTCCCAACAAATTAATTTATAAATTCAATTTCATGTTCGAAATACTTGACAAATATTATCAATTAATCGATCATCTTATTGTTATTGGTAAAACGTCGGCACTCGGCACTACTTGACCTTATATTATGTTCACATTATGATGATATCGGAGCTACTTCAGTTTTTGGAAAAGGTTAAAGCTGAGGATCCCAAATTCACATGTCCATAAAGAAAAGCTGGGGTCACGTGTAAGTATATTGTAACGGAGAAGCTGATAAAAAATGATAGCTATTAAAGCGAACGTCAAAGTTGAGAATTTGAGAAATCTCACGTTGGTGTACTTAATTACTCCTCGACATTTGATCTCATGCCTTTCCACTGCTCGACAGTATGAGTAAAATGTAAACCAATCCTATTCGATTGCCTAACCAAAAACTATTACTTTTCCGGTAACTAACCTAGAACTAAAAAACTAATTTAAAATGTCGAGGTGTATATAACTGGCAAGTGATCAAACATTCATAAATAATTTAACAATTTACGTAACAAAATATCCAAATTCAGGAAAATATTTAAACCTTTCCTACACTAATGACAATGATACAAGAATTGTGCAGCGATAATTTTTAAAGAAAATGATAAACAGCTGATAGTGATATTGGAATTTCTTTTTTATCTACACATTATGGTTGCCACTAGGTCTGGAATTTCGAGAAATCTCTGACAATTCAAAGTTGTCCCTACTGTTCCTATCAGATGAAATTCTGTTGAATCCAGTTCCTGTGCTGTCCCGGCACCACAGCTGAAATATTATCTGATGTTACCAGCGATGTTTGTGTAGTCGGACTGGCACTGGTTCGCGAGTGAAGCGGAAATTTTGGTAGCCTGCCGAGAGTGTAACTGAACTGGCTCTGGCGGCTGGAGATTATTTTCGGAAGATTATAAAAAATGGCAAGTGTGAGGGGGAGACTATTTATCTGGGAAAATTAATCAGAATCTGAAGCTGAGTGTTTTGGAGAGGCGTAGTCTACTCTTTCTTCCCGGTGGAACGACGGAATAACTTAATGAGCTGGAACAATCTGTCACCGATGTAAACTCTTCCGGTAGAGAACTGAAGCTGAGTATTTGCCCAGTCTATTGTTTCTTCTCGGAAGGGTAGTGGACTGGCTTCACGAGCCCTTAGTGCTTCTTTACCAAGATATTTCTCTCTTTCTATTGCAGTTTGTACATGATCAGGAATATCGGGAATCATAAAGTCAACCAAGCCAGTGATGAAGAAAACAAAGTGCTCGAACACGATGATGAATCCAAGTCGAGCGGCAGTAACTTGCATCCAGATAGCAGGGTTGGCGGGGTCTGTACTGAAGTGCATCCGGTACCTGAACAAAACATTTGTTTGGGTATTTTAGAAAAATAGGAATTCGGAGAAACTCTGACAATTCCTACTCTGACTGACTAATATTAACATTATCTTTCCCGATATTGGATATGCATTATGCAACTTAGAGTCTAAAAGATTGCATGCGATATCTATATATATATACGAAATAAAGTGCATTATAGGATGCGAAAATTTCTTTTAAATGTAAAATGCATTTTCCTTTTATTCATTTGCAATTTCATAACTGTTTGCTACATATCGCATTAAATATCAGCGAGCATAAACTGGCAACAACCCTGAAGGAACCGACCGGCGATTCGCCCCAGTCCAGTATCTGACCGGTCTGATAGTGACAGTCGGTTCCTATCCTAACCCCCATGATTTGCAAATTAGCGTCAGAAAGCTGGGTGCCAGATTTAACCAATAGTTAGCCGAGTGGCTAAAATTACCCGTCCCATGTGTCCCATGTAGTATTCCTACAAGACCCGTCCATCGGGGAATCTACCCACATCATATAAGTGTTTCGTGGAATCCTGAGGCACGATATCATAAAATCTGAAGACAAAAAGAAGACAAAGAATAGCTTGTTGAGGGGAGGAGAGGAGACAGTTGCTTACCTGCAATGTGTCGCATTACCCATCTCTATAGCAGTACGAGAGTCTAGGACCGTCTTTGTTAAGTTCAGAAGATCTATATCACAGGTTCCTAGAGTGTAGTTAGCGTAGTTGGTAAGGTCTGAGTTTATGGTGTACATGTAGACCAGCCGAGGTATGAACTCCGAGGTGAAGGCAATGATACACGCCTGAGGGGTATTGTTTAACAGTTGGAGATTACAATAATTCAGAGAGTCAAGGTGGCCCTTTCCACACCAAACTTCAGTTATGAAAAGTAATTGGTCAATAAACTCGTCAAATTCAACAAGATCCGGTAAGGGTTACTAACGTGCACTGTGGACTGTGAACATTTTAATAAAACATGCGCGACATACTTACGTTACATATAACGGCAAGAGTTGAGACCCTTTCTAGAATATCGTACCAGATACCTGAAAAAATAGTATTCAAAATCAGATCATCTTGAAATATGAACGTTAAAATCTTGTTTATCACTCAAAAATAGATACAAATTTAATTTTTTTTCTCAGAACGTAAAATAATAACAAATATTCTGCTAAAAGAATAAGAACCTATATCTTCAGCCCTGTCAGGGACACATCGTCGAGTGGAACAGAGAATCTTGTTACCATCGAGTCTGATTTCAATGATGTTGTTCACGAGAGCAAACACTGGAGCGAGGGGAAAACAAGCAACGAATATCGTGATAAAACCGTACTGGATTACTGTGGAGGGAGGGGAGTGAGAAATAATTGGAAAAATCTTTTTCAAAATAAAATACAGTTTCTTTGTAAATTCGTTAACACAGATACGTTCAGTAAAACTAGTAAAATATGTGTATAATTAGGAAAATAGTTGTAATGAGAAATTTACCCATTTCCAGGTACTCGTCAAATAACCCATCCTCTGGCCATGGTTCAAGTTGAAATTCCTGATCCCAGTTAGGAAAATTATTCATATCATCATCACCAGATTTACTCTTCAGCCACACTTTCAACCTCCTGAATGTACATATTAAAAATGATATTGCTAAATATTAATCAATTACGTAGCGTGTTCAGAATTTGTTCACAATTAAAAATAGCGAAATAGAAACGATGAATTAGTACGGTAAATGTTAGAACTTACGGTACTCCTAGCTCGAGGAAGTTGCCAATGGTCTGTTTACCAACCATGATGACGAACAGTTGAATACACAAATCCAGCAAACATCCGTACGAGCCACACTGAGAACAGGCACCAGTTAAAAATGGAAAGTGGACTGGAAGTGGTGGGAGTTTTAAAATACAGTTTACCTCCCACCTGTATACTCATCCAGATTTATATTTTATTAAATTTTGTATATTTTAAGTATATAAATGGAGCAAGGCTTTAATAATTAATATTGCTTCGTAGTAAAATGAACTCAGCAACTGTTTCTGCGCTTTTACCATGTTTTGAACTATTTCCGCTTCTTCTTACTGTCAACACATAGTTATGGGTACAACTCTACCTTGAAACAAAAAGGAGCTAAATGCTAGAAGAATGAAGATTACAAAATTACCTCCTCCTGTCGGTATCCCAAGAGCCGGTTGTAGTTGGGAGGGGTACCGTTGAAACGGCCCTGCACAAAAGCGATGTAGAATATGGAGCTGTAGAAGTTGACGAACTGGAACATGTACATCTTGAAGGAGAGTGCATCTTCGTATTCAGTTTGTGTTCGGTGCATCTCTGAAAGGAGGGTAACCTTTAGTGGATATCATTAATTCACGGTATACACTGACACATCCACAATCCGCGATTGCGCTCCAAGAAAATTTTCCCTAGTGACAATTCTAAATGATTAAAGATGAACACAAATTAACTCTTTAAAGTTGGAAAATAACAAAATAACGAGACAATTAGGATAACAAACATAAGAAAATACTCCGACTTACCCCAATCAGTAAGAAAATGAGCCAGTTTGTAATAGACAGTTGACATGAACAGTATGAAGAGGAAGTTAGCAAGAGCACCAGCCCCACTGACGATGATGCTGCTGACAGCTATGTCATCTGAGAGTGAGGTCTTGGCCAGGATACCTCTAATAGCAAGACGATACACGATAACTCCGATCACAGCGGCGATCACTAGGGATATCTGGAGAAGTAAAGTTGGTGTTATGGGAGAATTTGAGCGTTCGTTCAATTAGTTAAACGGGCTTTTAAAGAATTCAATTAAATACATGGTGGAATTAACGTAACGTCTATGTGTTCCGTGTATGTTAATTGTTAAATAGTAATTTCAACTCACCATGAATAGTGAGACCATGAAAGCAGAGGCAAGTCGGGGGTATCTCGCAGTGTTGGGAATACTTGGTTCTGTCTTCATAGTCACAGGGTTGACTTCTGTTTCTGTTGCCTTCTGTTCGTATTGAGGCCTTGGTGGTTCGTCCTGGCCCTCAAAACCCAGGGTGTCCCATTCGAACGCTTTGCTCGACTGCTCTCGCTTCCAGAATTCAAGGAAAAGACGAGCTGAAGATTAAAATGTTTATTAGGGCTTTGAATATCACGATTTGAAGCTCACTTAAACCCGGGGTAGTCTTGAAATAATACCCTAGTGACAATGATTATTGTTGTAAGAATATTATCTGAGTTTTTTATACCCAGCTGCAACCTTAGAGTGAAGGCTGTTTTACAGGATGTAAACCTTTTGGATCGTTTAAATGTGTTCAAGTTGTATATTTGTATAACTACAAATACATACCCCAAATTGACATGAAGACAGAGAAAGCTACTGTGAAGTTATTATCGAACAAGTGGGACACTCTCACTCCCTTACAGTCCAGAATCTCAAAGTGGCACGAGTCGCACCGCGGACACATCAGGAAATCTTTTTTGTTTGCGCAAATTCCGTCCCTGCGGGATTATTATATCTAAAAATTCAGATGCTATTTTCAAATTAAGATGTGTCCGCCCAAACATTCTAATAGAATTCCATATTTGGGCGGAAACATTCAGTACAACCCAGCACAGATTTTCCACTACAGGCCGATTCCAAAGTGTGACGCAAATTTTGCCCCTCCCTCCACATTTCAAGTATTGGACCAGGCAGCAGATTTAGTATAAGAATAGATATGTGCAAACATCCGATACCAACACTTCAGAAGTGCAGTTTCACATGCTGATTACTGCGCATAATGAAAAGTGAAAAGCTAATGGCATTTGCAAAGCATTGAAAAATAAAACTTCACGAGCTAATGGACCCCGAATGAACCGGTCCTCAAAATAAAAATCCTTAAAAATCGTGAAGATTTAAAGGGTCGGCGAGGAAACTTCGAGACGTTATCACGTGATGTTTCGGAAAGATTTCATCCAATCACTATCAAGAATTCATTTTTTTATCGGACAATAATCTTCGTAAACTATCACGTAAATTTGACGCACACAACTGCATGATCGCGTCACAAACCTCCGCAAATTGAAGTTGGTGAACCCGTAGAAGGAAGTAATACTCACGCGATCTCGTTCTGATTGTAGGTGATAATCCCGTACAAAAAACACACGACCCCAACAATACTCGGAACAATGAGCCAAGCGGTGTAGAATCCTAACCAGCAGAAATACAAGCTCACCTTTTCGCCAAAATACCGTCTGAAAAGAAGCAGTATACAAAAAGTGCGGGCGTACGAGGGAGTATCAAGGGTGTTATGAGTTTAGATGAAAAATAAACTAAAAGTATGCAAGTTTTGAAGTTGACAGCGAATGACAAAAACGCTGACATTCGATCGGACAAATTTTTAACAAACGTCTAGAAAATCTTTAACACATGTAATTCATGTTAATATACTTTAAGTGCGCTTGGTTTGCGGAGACATTTTAAGAACCTGATATGGTCGAGAGGTTGAGCGTTTTTCCACATAGCAAATCGGCCCCAGCCTCGGTACAGCTTCTGACGGTCACTCTCTGGTCTGGGTTCGGGGTCCAGATCATCCTCTTCCTCCTCGGGCTCCACCAGGGTGCTGAAATAATTAACCGTTAATCATGAGTGAAAACCTAGCTAATTCCCCGATGATTAGTATCACGCGACGATTGCTACTTTTCAGAGGGTTTGCCAATTCTTAGCATTAAACTACGCCGTATAATAGTTTGTTTTGTAGAAAATGTTTGACGCACAAATTGAGCAGTTGGTTGAGGGATTTTTCAAAATAATTGTTTCGAGCAATACCTGGGTTACGGACAAACAATTGCTATCATTTTAACTGTCATCGAGGTGGTCCGTAATGTGGGGACTATCCCGAGTGACGTTAAATAAACGGAGGAAAAAAACTTCCTTAATTGCGTAATTGCGACCGAATATCTCTATCTGAACACGCCCAATTACTGGTAGTGTAATAGGCTTGATATAAATTCCTCGCTTAGTCGGCCCTTATCGGGTCAAAATATTTGAGAAATTAGTGTTGACGAGGGTTGCTCCTTCTCGCAGGATATTTCAGGGTGCATTTTTGTAATTGTCGGCCTAGAGTCACGTATATGATACAGGATCACGAACTGCTCGGAAACTGGACCCAAACATCTTTATTTTAAGACGACCCTAGGGAATTATAATAAACGTGCTGACAAAAATAACAGCCGTTTTGTCACAAAAGTTAAGTCTGGATACTTGCCAAAAATTTAAACATTGTAAGTTATACTTATAGGATGGGGCATCACGGCTCTCGATAATTCTTGTTAAAGCAGACAAAATGCCACTTGTTGGCTTTTTACTAAGGTTAATTGCCTTACTAATACTACAAAAAGTGCGGAAACGTCAGTTGTACTATTTTATTTACTCGTTCTTACTCGTTATTTGCCCTATTTCATTTGGCCAGCAAGAATGTGGAAGTCTTGGTGCCCGTACCTTAACTTACAAATCTAGAAAATCGGATCTACGGGATTTACGAATTTAACATAAATTATAGTTATACAAATTTTCATACTTATTATTGGTGATTTCTTTGTATTGTAGAGACTAACTGTATTTTAAATCTTTTGTTTAAAACAGATTTAAAAGTATAATTACACTTATTTTTGATATTCTGATAAACAATTTAGTTCTCAAATTTACAGTCGTAAAATATATCGAGTTTAGAAAGTAATCGTATTTCCCCTTTGCTGTCAATGACAGAAGTCAAAGGAGTGTTTAGACACTTGAATGAGGACCTCATGCTCAACGTTTAACTATGTCATGAGTGTGCATTTTAGTATTACAGAATTTTGCTCTGGAAAGTTTGCAATTACTTATTACGGAATTATAATTATTAGCGGATGACATCTCACACATCGTGTAACTGTTAAAATATTCAAGTATCTCACAGACTAATATAGAAATGTGACAATATTTCCCGTTTTGTGGCAGATCCCGCAGTAAAATAATTGATTACACAATAAGCAGTCACCTATCGTGAAGCGGAAAGGCGCTGATGTAAACGTCCGTGTCCAGGAGTCGCTGTATTCCTATTTTAACACGTTCGTCAGGGGGAGTGTGTGGCGTTCTCAACAGGATCCCGCTCACCTGAAATTAATAATTATTAAGTAAATTGATCATCAGTTTTAAATCAATTCATTCATTAAATGATTAACCAATGTAGAATATTTTTGTGCGATCGTAGGAAAATTTATGGATGTGTAGTGAACTTTATTGCATTAACAATAACATAGCGAGGGGCGTGAGCGTAAGAGTAGTGTACTAATAGAATATGAAGGATTTTATGGGCAACGAGATTCATTTTAAAATATTTTGAGGACTTTTACTTTAGCCGTTATATGTAAATAGAGTGCGGCTTTTAGTGACTAAAAATATCACTTTCTGCCGAAAAAAGCTTTCTGTTATAATAAAGAAGCAATTTGATGCCATTGAGAAATAAAAAACATTTACCGATCGACAATTTAAAAGTTGAGAGTAGTCGATCTTAACAGTTATTGTGCTTTAAGCTTTTCTGCAGTGACCAGACTGAGTTTTCTGATGCTTAACTACTTAACCATTTTTTGAAAGAGCTTCTAGTTCTAAATCCGAATCTGAAGAAACCCTAGTAAATCAACGCCACTTAGTAAAAAGTGGAAGTTTATTTGCAGGATATTAGATCACCGTTGTCTGTCTCACAGAATCTTCAGTAAGACAACCTTTGTCGCTGTGATGTTAAATTTTGTTTAAAGGTTAACAGTAATTATAGAGGAGGTAATAATAGCAAGAGCGGAGAACTCTGAAAATATTGTGCTCCCATATCTCCCCAGAGAGCAATGTGTTGGTCTCTAGTAAGAGTCGTGTGTATTAAGGTTAGATTAAAAGAAGTTGAAAACAATTAGTAGAGGAAACTTAACTCAGGTAAAGACCATATTCAGCTAGAAGTTAATCTTAAGTTTGAGATACGGCAGGCTATATAGTAGGTATATATCTATGTTTTAAGTTACTGACGCTTCAGCTGCGAGTCCCTGTTACCCTGGAAAAGTACAGGTTCTTCTTGAAAGTTCTTTAAACGGATCCGGTTCTACTTTCGCCATACTTTCAGGTTAATCCAAGGTCCCGGAGAAGGGCCGGGGCTGTAGAAGGAGGTGATAACTAGGTCAGTTATCATTCCGCGGCCCTCGTTTCGCACTGCTGAGTACGAAACGTAATAATTTAATGATGGAATGTATCACATGGTTGCAGGGAATGCCGGCCTTTATTGACAGCTGGGTGCCTTGAAAATAACAGAATTACTTGGACAATGACATATATCCCCTCCAGTTGGTGGGCCTGTTATTATCCTGCTATTAGATTAGAAGCGAGCCCTTTAGTTAGCCTGCATGCTCTTCTGCTTAACTTACACTTTGTTATGTCATGGCTGCGGTTGAATGACTTTTTAAAAGTTTGTGAGGAGATCTGGATGAAGGACAGTGGACACGGCACTGTCATATAAAACAATTAACTGTTCTGCTTATAAGGGTGCAGTTTTCTCTAGTTTTGAGTGGTTTTCACCACGAGTCTACTTAGAGTCTGCATCGTCGAAAAGTCTGCATTAACTCCGCTTCCGTTCTACTGTTAGGCGGCTTCTGATAGTATCTAAATAGATCACGTGATGATAACACAGCCCTTTCACTGGCTGCGGAGTTCTGTCCGCCAGCCTGATTGGATAACGATTTCTGTTAACCGCAAGCATTTCTACGTGTGGGGAGTTATCTGCAGAAGCATAGGACGGTGTTGGTATATTAAATATTGTTACCACGCGTTGTATTTGCCGCACCAGGAATTATACCCTACTTTATACTCGTTACTTTTATACAGCTTTGAACACGTTCCCAAATCCTGAAGGAATTGATCCCCTGATATTTAGGGCAAACCTAATTACCAATTTCATTCGTATTTTTAATACGGCATAAAGAAATTACGCTCGTTGTTTGCTTTCCTGAAGACAGTCGCATATTTTGTTACTTTCCTCATTTGTGCAACTTTTGCAGGGCACCATTATGAATTCACCATGTTTAAACACGCCGTCGTAGTATGTCAGTGGAATTTGTTCGAAGAGTGAGACGATTGTCCCGGTCACCTGGGTGTCTTGTCAAGTTGAAGGTAGCTCAAGCTAGCACCGTGGTCACGAGAACTCAATTTGTTGGAGTTGTTAAGCTGCTAGCCGAATCCCTCTAACCCGTCAGTCAGATCAGAAAGTCAGGCCCAAACAGACACAATTTGGGCACCTGCCACGTGTTTTGTGCGGTGTGTTGTTCCCTTTCGATCGGCTGATCAGTGAGCCCCAACGTGACACTGGTCGCCAGCTGGTACCACACCGCGACAGTGTGGCCAAGCTAAATTGCCTTGTCAGGACTCCAGTTCAACTGGACGGACAGTTTGGTATAAATAATCCTTCACCCCGTAAACATGTTTTAATTTATCGCCCCGGTATAACTGCAGCTGTATGGATGCTGAATTATTTCATTCTCCGTCTCCCTTGATTGTTTCTTTTTCATAGCCCTGGTCGTAGAGCTTGGTTCAAATTACACAACATTTCGTCATTGTGCTGGGTTTAGCTTGTGGTTATGATGGAGTCTGGAGGGAAGTGAGCACCACTCAGCGCTAAGTGCCACGGTCCCACGGATCCAGGCACATCACCTCACCGATACCTAACAATACTAGTCCACTGCCCCTTTTTAATTATCCATCTCAGTATGCTGTGATCGTCTTGTTTCATCATCATCTCGCTATGTGGAGCTGCACTGAGACGTCACATACGAAAATAGGGCGGGCAGGGCTCTGGTTGTAGGAGGAGAGGTAGACAGCAGGCGGGGCTCAGGGACAGGGAGTAGACGGATCGGAACAAGAGGTGGCGGATAGTTGACCTGCACATTTTGTCACGGTAATTCTCAGGAAGATATGCCCAATATGCGGGGAGGTCATTGTTCTGCCTCCTTATCTCGGTCATTAGTCCTTCTCAACGATCGGAAATATAGGGAAACAAAGTGATATCATCTGGTAAGAAGGCATCATGTGTACTTGCTCCCCACAGGAAGCGGAGCCCGGACCGTGCGGACGGACGGAGCCCTGAACTGAGTTTTGCAAAGCTCGCCAACTGCTGGCTACCCCAGCCACATCACCAAGAGAACATAAAGCCCGATATCCCAAACAATACTTAAAATTCTGTTAGTAGAATGAGTCCGTGAAAGGCAGTGTAAGTCTTGTGAACAAGGAGTTGTAGGATCTTTACAGCGAGCCTGGCCTGCCTGCCTTTAACTGTTTCTATCTCGCTAATCCGCCTCACTTCGTAAGTGTTAATCGTTAAGGGTTCACTCCTCAATAACCTAACACTTGTTCGGCCAGTCCGGGACCTCGAGTCACGCCCTCACCTCTTATCTTCCGTTACTCTACTTTTTGGGAAGAGGTTCTGGTAAAGAAACCGGCATCCGAGTGATGACCTGCTGGTGTCACTAATGATACAGGGCTGTCACGGTCTTCAGACTCGCATATCGTCCGTCACTTGGCAATTAACTGTGGGCTACAAGCCATACCCGTGCCCGTGTAGCGGGGTTTACCGTGAAAGTGTGCAGCTTAACCAGCAGTTTTGTCCCTGTTATTAAAATTAATTGCTGTCCCGGTGTCATTGGGGCTGTGTGTCACGTGACACAAACAGCCACCTTGCTCTAATGCTGTGTTTGCTTGCCTTGTGGCGCACTTGTTCTTCCCAACTTAATTAACTTTAATCTGAGTACACCGTGCGTGTTAGTGCTAGTAAGCCCACTTTACTTGTTTAAGTTTTTAGGACACTCTTACTCACTTAGATCTAATAAGTTTAAGACAGTAGTTTGAAGAATGTAGCGGGAATGATTGCCAACAACTTGTGTACTCTCGTAACTGCTTAAAAAGAAATAATGTTGCGTACTCTGGAATCGTGCTTACTAATTGGCTGCTATTATTCCTCCTTTTCATTCTCTTTTGTCTTGATTCTGTACAGTAACAGCTGCTTTTCGAAATACAACTTTTAGCCAGCTCAGAACGGAGAGTCCGAATCATGAGTTGCAAACGATCTACTAGAGGCGGGATATTTTAGGTGGATTTTTTGCTTGTTTCAATCGAATTGGGAAAGGCACGTATCTTGGATATTTCTTGCGTATACACACTTTGCTGGTTGTTTGTGCTTGTTGTTGTTTGGTTACCACGACCCAGCCCAGCCGCTGAAGTTACAGAGACTATTAGATTCCTCTCTCACTGCAGGGCATAGACCCTTTCTGGGCACAGACTTTTCCTGTAAATATATATATCTGATACTCCGCATATAGAGAGCACTTGTGGTGAAAACGATGACTTTCTTTTGATAATCGGCTTCTATTAGACTTAAAGTTTCTTCGAAATTCGTGGAAAACGTCTTAGGACCCTCCTAAATTCGTTACTTTGACAGAGCTGGTAACTCTTGTCTAGTCGGCAAAATCCTGAATAATAGATTGTACGAAAATCGACTCGCCACGAAAATTGACAACATAATTTGTTGGTACACTAATTTAGTGCGGATATTGACGATGAACATAACCCTGGTTAGTAAGTTATTGAGACTGCAACACTAACTGTGTTACACTGTAATGCAGTCTAATAGTAAGCTCGGTACTAGAAAGACACTTGCTACCAGCTGACCATCCCAACCCTTCCATTTCCAAAATGTTTGACGTAGAACGGGCCCCCTTCTAATTTGATTTGAATTATATTTATGTTACCTACGCAGTCGGTACAGAGAAATCGAAATGATCCTCAGACTCTGCAATCATTTGGTGAAATATTTTGGCGAGTGTGCGTGCCGATAATGATCACAAAGCAAACAACAAATTTTCATTGTCCACATTTGCAGACTCGTCTTGGTTTGAATTGACTTACGGTTACCCAATGTTTAAGTCACGGACTTGTCACATTGCGGTGTCTAAATCCATCAGTAACTCTACTCCAGCATGCCCTAAATTGTCACAATCTGCTCCATTATGTCACTATACATCTCCAGCTAATTGTCAGTCAGTTTCCCGATAACACGTCCCAATTACCACTAATTACTGCTAATTACCACTGCTAATTACCAATGCCCATACAGCGGCAATTAGCAGGGCAGCTAGCTACAATCAAACCGTGCATCAGGTCCGGAGCCGTCTGCAGCAAATATACATTTGGATTACAACATGAATTAACAAGGTCAGGTGACTCATGTGACTACCAATGGTAACAGTACTGTAGTCAAGACAGCGGTTTTCAGCTGTACTTCGCATCTTTCCTGCCTTTCTGTGTGCCTAAATTTGCTTTTAATTCACTAATTCAAAAATATGCAACGCTGCCCCACAAAATTAATTCACAATAAGCTTGTGGTGCCGGAGGGGAGTGCTTCAATCTTTGTTTTGTACAGTTCAGGCCAGATTACATCTGCGTTTGGGCTAATCTACATTCTCTTAATTTTTACTCGAAAAAACTGCTTTCTAATTTAGATTTTCCGTTTTGCCTGTCTGTTGCATACCAAAACTGCGTGTAGCTTCGATAATAGAATTTTGTGTCGTTTTTGCCAACTGCCCGTGTAGTGAGACTATTCGCTGGTTTGATATCTTGCAAACTATTTCCCGTATGCATAGTTCAAATATCAAGGAGTGTGATGTTTATGAGTCATATTCTTTCCGATATTGCCCAATAAAGCACTAAAGACGAGTGTCATTATTGAGTGTGTATACCTACAGGTTAGGCACTAGATGAAGATGAAAATAACATAGGACACGTGAAGCAGGGCATGATAATCAGGACCACACCCACGACCATATCCACGACGACGATGATCCTTAGGACGATATTTTTGACGACAATTCTATTCAAAGCAGCAAGGTGTAGCACCCGATCACATCAGGTACATTATTCTACGTATACTAATTCCTTTCTTGTACATATATAATGAACAGAGTCTTACTCATCCGATTATTGCGACCCGCAAAATAACATTATCTGTAATGCCATTGTATTGCCGCCAAGCAAATAATTTCAATTCCTGACCAAAATAGCAATATGGAAAATGTAGGTCAACGTTTAGGATACACGTACGTTTTGTACAATTACATTTGAGGTGGAGAATGTTCGTGCTATTTCATGAGATCAATATGCTGATGAGTCGTCAACATGCCACTCGCTGTGACAATAACCATTGATTAGGAGCTGTGCTTGACACAGGGCTGAAACAGAAACGGCACTCAATTTACTAGATACTGGCCAGCAACATATAATCGGCTCTGAACCTTAAACAATTAATAATTAAATAATCTCACTGATAATGATATTTTTAGATAGACCTAGGAGACGAGTATTCCGACCTTGAAGACCTACACAGAAGCCTTAGTGAAACCCTATCAGAGGTAACAATGGTATCCCCATTCTCCATCCTATAACATAATTTTTTAAACCTTCAATTTGTTTACCCCTATTATATATATCCAAACTAGAAACGACAATGCATTAAGACCGAACCTTTATTTATTTTTCAATGAAAAAGCATGGATTACATAAACGTTGATAAGAAACCAGACATTTCAGATGCAAAGTACCCTCTACGAAATAAAAAACAGCGACCACTCCACCATTATTAATCAGGTAGACTAGACTTCTCATAATCTTCTCTTAATTTTCTATCGTTCATTGTTGATTATAACTTCAAATTATTCATTTCTTTTTCACTGGGACTTCTTACAATTCTTTGCACGAATCTCTTCACGTAGCAGGAGTTAATAGACACGTTATCAGTCGTCACTAAATCCACATTTTTTCACGTAAGTCCCGCCCCAAAATCCTCAACAGTAGCAAAACTTAATCTCAAAATGGGAAGTTCAAAGCATTTACTCCTAAACTGTTTGCGAGGCCCGGGAATTAAATCACCCCTCAGCAGAACAATCAGAGTTTGCAGCTTTCACAGAATTTATATGGAGTAGAATTCTAAATCTGAACCACTTCCCGTCTCAGATGAACAGTGAAGTAAGATCCCTTACAATAAAGGTAAACGACCTTCAAAGCGCCAAAGAATCGTTAGAGAGCAAAGTAAGCTCGTTGGAAGCGGAGATGGACTGCGTCATGGGCCGAAGAGAGAGTTGCAGCCCTTCCACATGTATGAATGGGGGTTCCCTCATATCAGTGAGTTCTAGCAGACATTTCTTACTTGATAGGCTAGTCCACGGCTAGAGGCACAGTCTAGAAAAGAACGGCGTCTCTTTTCTACCTAACTATTTACCTAGAGTCTCTTTACCTGACTATTTTAAGTTATTTAAGGCATGTAAGTTCATTTCGTGACTAAGATTAAACGACGTTCTTCACCCAGGAAGGAGAGTGCCTGTGCCGGCAAGGCTTCACGGGTGATCACTGTGAAACAGATGTTAACGAGTGTGAAAGTAGCAGCCCCTGCTTAAACGGTGGTAAGTTTCAAGTCAGTCTGAATCCTGCACTAGAGCATGTTTGTCAGGATATAAAAAGGAGTTGGGTAATTTAGCAAAAGGAATCCTGACAAAAGTCACTAGTCAGAGTAAACTCGTTGAAGAATAACATGAAGTATCACCAGCAAGGTAACGTGAAATATTGTCAGGGCGTTGTAAGAACACATATGGGTCCTACAAGTGTAACTGCCCGATAGACTACTACGGAGCGAGATGTGAGCAACTTCACGACGACTGTAGTCCCAATCCGTGTGGAAATGGTAGGTACCTGGGTCGACACCACGCTCCTCAACTCCATTCATTCCACCTTATCTCTCCAGTTTTCTTAAACTGGCTGTAAAACCAAATTTAGGTTCATTGAGGATTTTTAGTAAACAACGACCTGGTCCACCGTTTTTCGATGCTGCATAAACCAGATTTAAATGTAGTTCTTTAGCCGAAACACATCTCGCCACGGAGCTACCACTTCCAGCTCCAGCTCAGGTTAACATCAGTTGTCAGGATCTGCCACCAAGTGTTCCATATTGGTTTATGTCATATTGTCCAGATCACAAGGATATAACATTCAGCACATATTTTAACCGAAGGCAATTGTTACAAACCAAGTTACACATTCAATACTAAGTTGTTCGACGTGTAACAACATCTTGACCAGAATTGAGCATCAAGTTCACCAGAATTGAGCACCAAGGTCACCAGAATTGAGCACCAAGTTCACCAGAATTGAGCACAAAGTTAACCGGATTCAACGCCATGTTGACCTCAACCATTCCGGCAGGTCTGTGTTTTTCACCAGGTCGGAGAGCAGAAGGAGTGCCCCACTTCCAGTGCATCTGCAACGCAGGTTGGGAGTTCCCTGAAGACGACTACTCTTGCTCCAAGGTTACCTTCCCTTTCTTATACCTGTTATCTATCCTTATCTTATCTTAACTTATAATTGCTCCTCTCTGTAACTGATTTCAGGGTTGGATCACCAGAATAATGAGCGGAAAGGCTGTTTCAAATTGTATGTGACAGCCTTTTCAAGTCAATATTCTAGTATGTGACGATGCCTTGGTCCATCGCGACAATAAACCCAACATCCAACTCATTAGCCTCCAAACATAATGCAAGTCGACAAGAAAAATTATTCCGGATTTTTACAGGACATAAACGAATGCGAAGAGATCCACCTGTATTGTGACGAGATGGCGACGGACTGTGATAACACTCAGGGCTCGTACGAATGCACGTGTCCGGTGCGTACTATCTTTGCGTAAAGTTCTTATCACTTCCGGGTCAGGTGATACGAACAATCACCTGACTTCCGGGTCAGATATCTGTATCATTATTTAGGATTCCATATCCGACACGAAACAAGAAAACGTACAGTTAATTTGGAGCTGTCCCTGTGTAAGGCGTACTTTTTTAGGGTATTATTACTTACAATGTTTTCGATATAAGAAATGAACTAGTCCACTTTTCAGTCAGGATATTTCGGGTCTGGTAAGATGAGAGAAGGAGGTTGTATAGAGATAGCAGACTGCTCCTCTGATCCTTGTTATAACGGCCAGTGTGTGGACCTTAATATCGGGTACGTCATCATAACTCACCAAAATGTAATCAGAGCTCGTTCATCTATTGTTTATTGTTTTATATCGATTCAATATAGATACATGCCGCAACAGACACCTGAAAATACGCCTCCAGGCGCCCTTTTGAAAAGGTAGTCGGCATGTTGCATTGCACTGCCGTAGTCGGCATGTAGTCGGCATTTGCAATGATACATCTCCGATAATGACATAATCCTTTATTCGACATTGTGTTGAGTCAGAGGTACAGAAAGTACAGCATTTCTTAATCAGATCTTATAGACAGCTCATATAAATAGCTATAAATAGTATTGTATCTACCAAATATTCTGCCAATCTGGAATTTTGCCTGGCAGGTACACTTGTGAGTGTGAGGAGGGCTGGACCGGTCCAACATGTGGAACCCGAGCCACGGGCTGGTGCTCGAAACAACCCTGCAGAAACGGGGCTCGTTGTGAGGAACACCAGGGACTATCTACAGGCCCCTACAGATGTCACTGCATGCCAGGTAACTTTTAGAGGTCACGAAAAGTAGTTTGTGAGGATAGACTGAATCATTATCTCATTAATTAAATTTCAGTTCCTTACGTACACCGGAAAATGACGGGTCGACCCGCATGATTTGTTTTTCAATGATTTGTACTTCTATGATTTGTAGTTATGATTTTTGCATATCATTTCAAACCTCTCGACTAACAATGCCACCCTGGTAGGTTTCAAAGGACAGTACTGTGAAGAGGAAGCAGTGTGTGACAGAGTGACCTGCCTCAACGGAGGAACTTGTGATTCGGGTGATGGGAGGACCTACACTTGCCAATGTAGAGACGGTTTTGCTGGCACTCATTGCGAGGTACGGTTTATTGACTGACGTTACACCATTAGCAGCTAGTCTCAGCTTGATTGATATGTCAAATTCTCAATCAGAGTGCTAAAATAGATTTATAGTAGGCCTATTTATAGTAACTTTTACTGCGATTTATAAATTTATTCTGAAAGCACCAGGCCTAGGGTCTGGGTTTAAGCCTTTATTCAATTAAAGTACCTAAAGTAAGTAATTAGAAACTCGCTAGTTTTATTAACAAGTCTCTGGCCAAACTTTAATTCTTAAATATGAAAATTAAAATAATTACTAGTGATGCTATTTATAGTAACGAGCCCGAACATTTAAAAGTTGCATGCCCTGCTCTTTATTCAATTACTACTTGTATGCAGAGTTATCTGAGCTCACGGATTCAATAAATAAAAACCAGGAAATTTTAATAATTTCAAAACGACCAGGGTTTAGCAGAGGCATGTGAGGGTCACGTGTGCCAGAATGGAGCAGACTGCCTCCCCACAAATAACGAACAAGGCTACAGATGCAAGTGTATGGAGAGTTTCGAGGGCCAGTTTTGTGAAGGTAAGAAACAAAAACGGTGTTGTTAACTCAGGTTCATAAGTTTTAAAAGGACTGGGGTTTAGAAACGAATCTAAAAAAACGTTGATTAAAGTGACACGATGCTGGCAATAAAACTACCATGGTTCTCATATTTCGAACTATTTCCTGAGATAAAACTGTACCATTTCAGACCAGATATTATACGAGCTAACAACTTGCGGAGTACAGGGTCCGACAGGTCCTGACGACGAGGCCTGCTCCTCTCACTACGGCATCACACTCTCACAACAGCTGCAAGTCAACGTGGTGTCTGGGATCCAGAGTGTGTTCATCGCTGAGAGTGGCGTCTACCAGATAACAGGTACTTTTAACAAGTCATTATAAGAAGTCGCATTCTCAAAGAACTTTGTCAAAAGTAAATCCATAGGAAGATATTGTAGGTCACTCTATTTATTTAATGGTGCATTGTTTCAGCCAGAGGAGCGAGCGGGGGGAGCAGCTGGGGATTCAATCAACTCGGGGGCTATCCTGCCATTATCAGGGGAAACTTCCGACTAGGACCCGGCTTTATTAAGGTAGCAGTAGGCCAGCAAGGAGAATGTTATAAGTTTAACGATCTGAACGGGAAGAAGAGTAAAAGTGTTGTTTGCGGAGGAGGCGGCGGGACGTTTGTTGTGAGCGACAATGAGCCCCTGCTCATAGCGGGAGGTGGCGGCGGTGCCGGAGACAACGGACCCGGTTAGTGGTGCAGAACACGTGGTGTAGAACACGTGGTGTAGAACACGTGGTGTAGAACACGTCCTGCGTGGTGTAGCATACGTGTTGCAGAACGCTTATAAGCTCATTGTCCATTCAATCTTATGATCATATCTGTTTAATTCTTATCTGCTAAGGAATATTTACAACTGATAACATCGTACATAGCTTATAGCCGGTGAGTTCAAACAAATAAAAACAAATGGGTACACGTTTTGTGATGTTGACTCCCAGGTATCAATGCCAGCAAGACGATAGAAGGTACGTATCACATGCCGAACAGCAACGTATTTGGAGGACGACTTGGAGACGGAGGAAAGTCTTGTCCTAATTTTGGAGGAGCCGGAGGAGCTGGCTTTGTGACAAACGGAGAAGATGGATTCAGCAGTGGTCAACAGGTGAGAGCTTAAAGCTGAATATCTTGATTACTTTATTTGATAAGAGTTTTACCTTCTTTAGCCCCTTCTTCAATCTGTTGCCGTACTTAGATAGTAGTAATTAATACAATAAACGCTGTTTAGATGCAGTGTCAGAAGTAGCTCTAATAGCGTTTAGAAAAAGAGCTATGTCATCCCTTCCACCAGGCAATCTTAGTCGCGTTATAGGAAGTGTTCTTAGACCAAGTGGCTATGGCTGTAGACTACCGAACGGTCTAGAATGTGTAGACCGTCAACATGACAGTCTACATCTGCAGTCTCTCTTACTATCGAGCATAACATTAACAACATATTATAATCATTCTCCAACTAATCTCAGATACAAGGAACTGGAGGACGCTCGTGGCCAGATTTGCGTGGCGGTGAAGGCACAGATGCAGCAAACATTCACAACCACGGACGATCAGCGTTTGGAGGGTTTGGCGGCGGAGGTCGCGGAACCTGGTGTCCAGGCGGCGGTGGCGGCTATTCAGGCGGCGCCGGAAAATGTTCAAGGACTGGAAAAGGAACGGCCCACAAGGGCGGAGGAGGAGGTGGATCGCTCGTCCACTCCGACGCTATTTCCCGAGACATTACAATTGCAAACATACCCGGGCCGGGTGAAGTCAAAATAGTGCGGTTAAGCGAGCAATGAAGCTGCGCCCACTCTGCCCCACAGAAAGATTATTTGTTGCCGGCAATGAATATCAAGACAAAAGAAACCTCATCATCCAGCTCTAACAACCAGGCTAACACCCGGATATCCAGTATTAAGTGAAACGTTTTGCCACAGAGTTTGATCCTCTAATCGTATTGGTGACAAAAAAGCGAATCCGGCTGTGTCACGTGATAAAATGGTGCGTAAGAAAGTAAGAAAAGTTATTTTGCCAAATCTAGAGATTGAATGATTTCCTGTTTTTTACGACAATTATGAAAATTTAATTTTGCGTCGATGAGATTGAGTCAGAACTCAGAACCATAGGATTCCCGTCTAATAAATATAGTATTATTTTGAAACTAATTCATTAGATTTCGAGATTGGTCGTTAAATGTAATGATTGTGTTATCAATGCAAGACACATTTTTTAATTAGGAAGATTCTTGTATGTGCTCAGAATCTTAAAAATACGTTATTTTGCAATTAATAGGACTTAGGACGTAAAGAAATGATAATTTATGTTTAGAACACTTATATTTGCAGTGATTTTGAACTTAACAATTTCGTGAATGGTGGTTGATAAAACGATTGCCATATGTTTTGACATATCGACAGCATTAAATATATTCTCGTGAAGAAGTTTAAATAATGATTGTGAATCTTTTATTTGAATTTTATTTAAAAGAAACTTACGATTTGTATTCTCTGCGAAGAATTGAAGAGGGTTTCATGATTGGAGCCTCCTACGTAATAGTGTTCCATCCTGAAAGGAAGAGTTTAAGATTTCAGTAAAACTTGAATTCCTTGCCGTAATCGGAATGGTTGCAGTAATGTGTGTAAATATCTTAGATCGTAATTGTCTAATGTCTATTTCATGGTTTCAAGCAAACGGCAATTTCAGGTAGGTGCCATACCTTGCCCTAACCCTATTTCTGGCCCAAACCCAAACCCTGAAACCTAATTTTATCCTTCCGGACCTGGACTTTGGTTGGACGCTTTATTAATAGATTAACGAACACCGCACCGCTGAGCACCCCTTACAACGCTACCAACACGCTACAGATTAAATGATAGCTAGCTACACAGATGTGTATAGTGATCTGCTTGTTCTGCAGTGAGCTGCAATATAGTGCTTCCAGTGCAATCTAGTGCTTGATCAGCAATACTTACAGAATTGATACTGTCACATTTTAATGGCACTTATGTGATGAATAATGATCTATATATAAGTATATACTATATAGTCACGATAAACTGTAGCTAGGATGGTACACCTAATAAACACAAGATAATAGGTTAAACACAAGATAATAGGTGATGTATCACTTATCTGCTACCACAACATTCTGTATATCACAGTATCAGCCCTATAAAGAGAGGGGTGGTACGGGTTAACAATAAGTCATATCACTATCAGTCTAGAGGTAGCGAACGCGTCTGGATTACCCTCTAGTTCCATGGCCAAATTTTCACTCAAATCTTTACTCAAATAAAATTTTCCCGAATTTTTGGCTCTCTCTTTTCGATTCACTCAAACATTTGAGCTAAAAAAACATATTTGTATGCATTTTCAATTATGTGAGGTCTAACGCACATAAACTTATAAAGTCTTTTCTGGCAGCCAAGCGAAATATAATAGGGTAAATAGATGCAGTTAAGGCATGGTCTGCTTTTGTGATAATGATCTTAAATCTTAGTGATATTCGTGATGAATGGGGGGATATCATCAACAACTAGACACAGTTATGCCGAATAAATCGTAGATATTGAGCCTAATCCAATCTTAGTTTCGATAGTCGGTTCACAAAAGCCATGCCGCTTCCCAGAGTTAGAGCTCCTTAGTCAACACTAGAGATATAATTAATTAGGGGTTTGTTAGGTGGTTCCTGTATAGACTGCTGTTCGTTACTTGTCCTACTTATTCAGTTAACACCACACTATAAGCAGACATTTTTGACGTTAAACGTGAAATTTTCGGAGGGCCAAAAATAAAGCGAGATTATAGTTTGCAGTTGGTATCGCAAAGCAATTGAAACTGACTGTAGGGTTTCAGGGTGCTGAAACTGTTTAACGGCCCCAGAATCACTGTTAATGCAGGTGAAAGAAGCTGAGAGCCCTAAAAAGGATAGAGCTAAATCATAGGCTTAATCAAGTGGTGACAGGTGTTAGTTAAATAATAATAATTATGTAGATATTGAATAATTATGTCAATAATTCCATGTACAAATAAATAGCACCCACGTAGTTTATAATATGGTATATGGAGCCACTTCCAACCATTTTCATGAAAATTATGTTTAAAACTAGCGGTAACTAAAGTGAATTTTAAAGTGAACCACAAAATGAATGAATGAAGATATTTTTGAACTTACCCGCGCAAATCGAGGTAGGTTTTGATTTTCATAAATTTGATCCTGCAGTGGTATGAATGAGTGGAAGAAAATAATGATCACAGATGAAATGAATTCTTGACATAAACTGAATTTAAAAACAGAGCGAAATGAATTAATGGAGTGGGGCTATGTAAGGAACAGTAGGATTAATTTGGCAACAAAGTATTTCAACATTCATAGTCATACGAGGGCAACAACTACCTAATCTTACATATCTCTATACTCAATCACTGTCACGATACTTAAATCAATCTGAGCGTACGTGCTTACACATTACATGTCGAGGGGACGGAAATGCTCACTTGTGGAGTTTGTTTTTGTCGAAAGTAGTAGTGTAGACTTGCGGAAGGGGATCTAGAGGTGAAGCGAAACTGTTTCTGACGCAGGTCGGTACCAAGTGGTCTAACCAGCTGGAGTGTGTTCGCTCTTCTTCCTGTTAATTATCATTAATTATCACTAATTATCACTAATTATCACTAATTATCACTAATTATCACGAATTATTACTTTAATTATTACTTTAATTATCCAACAATTATTTTTTTTGATTTTAGAAATTAAATTTAAAAAATGAAAACAAATCGGTCGCTTTCTTGATCATTTTTTGTGTTATTGCCGTTTACCTTGAAGGGCATTTTGAGGTTCATAAACTCGGCTCCGTCGCACAGAACATCAAATGGGCAGTGCACTTTGACGAAGTAAGTGTTGTTGTCAGATGAATGCTGAAATAAATGTGAAATTACTCTTTCATATTACCCCCTACTCTTTGTAAGACATGATCTCAATATACATCTTATCAAGCACAGCTAAAGTACTGGTCACAAACTTCAGCAGCATCATTGTAGATGAATTGCTGATGCTCATTGCTAACCACATGGTCAAAAACATGCTTATATAATACATATATTATAACATAGATCGGAGCCTTTGCCCTTTGGTAGTATGGTAGGATGGTAATTCTACCCTACCATACAGTATGGTGACACTGAAACTGGTAAGTGCTTATAGTCAAACATATTACCTCAGCAGACTCATGTTCCAGCTCGAGACCTCTATCCCGGAGGTTTGACTCGTATATCCGCCTCTTAGACTCCGCTTGACCACCGCTGCAATCTAGTCTGTACGCCAGTATAAAATCTGCGGAAAATATATTGTTAAGAAAGGCTAATTTTGATTCTAATAAATGGTTTATGGAACGATTATAAATGCAAAATAATTATTGAAGAATGCATTTTCGTCATAGTATTTACTGTTGTAAATGCAGTTTGCGTGAAATGTGAGCCGTCAGTCTTATTTAAATTTAGCGTGCCTTATTAAACATAACTTACTCTTAAAGCCAGAAAACAAAACATGGTCATTCTAGACTAGGAGAATAAAAAAGAGAATGTCAAGAAATTTTACCCACCAATTTGTCGCTGTCCATCTCGAAAGTAGCAGCTATTAAGAGGTGCTTTCTGAAATGGGATGGTCGTTAAAAACATCACCAGGTAAATGAGCAGTAACATTTCTATTCTACCAAGCCAAGCAGCCGCATTCCAAATTACACACCTGCGTCCTGCAAGTTAGACAGTATTCATAAGCTAGAGAGTCGAGAGTCTAGTTCTACTCCTCTCTACCTTTTCTATATTAAGGTATATAGTATAAAATATATATAACTATAACCCTCCTATTCTAATCTCCATTTTCCAAATTCTCCACATTTAATTTCACAGAGGTAGAGAACAATGAACCCCCCTCGCTCATTGTTCACCTCTACCGAGCGGACAATGCTCGTGCTCTACTCTCCCATCATTTATAGTAACACTCACTAGTTCCACTAAACCTGGACACTCAGCTGCTTGTTCTACTTTACAGGTTTTCTAGCCCGTATCTACATTCTTGTAGATATGGGCTAGAAATGTAGCACAATATACGTTAAGCGGGATTGTAAACGTGGCAACAAAATTACTAAACACAAAAGTGTGACATCTTCGGGGATATTTTAAATTGTGAGATATTTATAAGATGTTATAAGGTGAGATATTTATAAGGTGTTAAGGGACTTCTATAAATGGAAATGGTGCAAACATGTAACAATGATAACGAAGACCACATATCTGACTTCAACCCTCGCTATATTAAATGGTTCACCTCGTCCCATATTTTTTTACTTTAATCCTAACCCTAACCTCTGGAACTTACATTTTTCATATGCAAAAATTCAAAATTACACGTTCTCCGTACCGATCTGCGTGTATGGTCATTATTATTATTATTATTATACACTTACACAGTACTTACACAGTACTTAAACAATAAACAGTATAATATTACATTGATTTAGTCACGTTTAAAATTGAAAAACGGTGAACATCGAAATATTGTTGATAATACCGCCACGTATAAGACACTGAAATTGGCGGAAATACTTTAAAAGTATTAAAAAACATGCAATAAAAGATCATGCGTGAATGTTTTTAGTTGACATGCCATGCATGACAGCTTCAAACGTGCCTCAGGTCTGACAATTTTTATTCTGTAATATTCTGTCTGCTCAATACCCTGCCCATCTTTATCTCTCATAGTCTGTATTCTACCTGACTTGGGAATTACTCAGACATTTTCAACAGATTGACTGATCGAGCATCTTTATTCTTACTGACTGTAAAGTACTTCCTCAATAAACGGTCTGATAGTGGTGACTGGTGGAGGGGGAAAGATAAAATATTCATACATTTTTGACTTGAAAGACAAGTAAAACATCTCAAAGTCAACGATCTCAAGATGATTTCTCATGACATGGACAGTATCTCAATTTCAGCGAAACAATAAGTAGGCTTCGACAGATTACAATACTTTATTGCAAGACAGCCGGGAGAGCAAAAATGTTAAGAGAACTGAGTGGAACCTTTGCAGTGCCAATCTTTCTGATTCTATAATAGGGCGTCTGATGGAACTCCAACACATCTATAACCTTTTTTCCCATAATGATCTAGACTAACATCTGCGACACCGGAAAAACTAACAAAACAGCATAAGGATATAAAGTTGCTGATCGAAACAAAGTGTCGCTTTTTCGAAGCAATTGAAGTCTAATAACCAGCAGAACTGGCCACTTGTACGCTGTGATATATTGCAAACCAGCAGAACTGGCCACTTGTACGCTGTGATATATTGCAAACCAGCAGAACTGGCCACTTGTACGCTGTGATATATTGCAAACCGAAAGTGAAATTACTGCTCATGCTCCACTCAAAACGCTCACAAACCGCAACAGGAAAATCCTTCGATTATGCAATAACCACTGCACTGGTTATGAAGTTATCAAGGTCACGCACGAAGCTATTATCTAGTCATTGATAAACCTATAAGCCCACGCTGAGACTCACATGTAGTCAAACTGTATAGTACACTGTACAACTAAAGACGGTCCAGTGTCTGTACGAGCAGCTGTGGATCAAGACGGGGTAGAGGGCGGGCTAAGCACAAGCTCGAATATCAGTGCTTTGAAACACTAGAAAAGGATATGTTTAAGAGGGAGAAAGATTATGAGTTTATCTAACACCGCAGTGTTTTAATTACAGAAATGGCGCCAAATAATAACAACACCAACTCTAATATTTATTATAGTTCTATATATATATAGGCTACTAAAGAGCTAAGGACCTCGAGAAATATGGGCGTTCATGAAGTTAAAGTACCGCCGTTTGGGGACTAATCGATTGGAGATTTCTTTGCTTAAGAAAATCGCGCAAGTTTTCCAAAATAGAACAAAAATCAACAAAATGAAGTGAAGTGTCGATAACGCGCCACATGTGGTGACCCATGAAGGTGGACATTGACGGTAACAAAGTGTACACAGTTATTTCTATATTTGAAGAGGTTAGTTTATCAATACACAAGAGAACAAAAAGAGCGGAAAAGATCACAATGTGACCCACCAGATATATTTCATTCACGCACTCAACTACAAAATCTTGACGACACGAATAATTTCACAGACTGAGCTGTAACACACACGTTGCTTTTCAACTGTAAAAACACCAAGATATGAATCTTGATATACCCAGGTTACGTATCAAGTATCGTGCGACTCGAACTAATTCATCACCTAGCCACTACACTCGTGCTTAGCAACATGAAAATTTGTGGGTAGAGCAAAGAGTCATAACGTCATATTTCTTTACCTGATCACCAGTTTTGCGTGTGTCATATGGACAGTGAAGATATGGAGCAGTCGTTTGGAGCAGTGTTATGTGACGAGCTCAAGCTTGACCGCACTATTTGCATGGGGAATTGATTCTTAGTCTCCTAATCCATGTTACGAGCAGAGAGAAACTCTTTATAAAGTCTGTTCGCTCATTTCTCCTGGAAATACTCCTACACCTTATACACACCTGTTCTATAGCCTCATAGAAATAAGGGTGTTTTGATAAATGTGAAACCTACTGTTAACCAGCATCTCCCTAGTAGTAGTACACCATGTTTCCTATTTTATCTGATATTGTGATTTTCGGTTAGAAAAAAAACCGAAGTTTAACAGTTTGAACAATTATCGATTTTATATTTCCTCAGTCTACAATAAATTAGTAAATTGGACGGTAAAGGCTCCTTACTTCCGCGAATAAACGACATAATTAGTAATTAGGGTACGATTGATGTATAGTTTGTATTATATATGTTAACTATTACATTTGGCGAAACAGTAATATGATAATACTTTCATTGGTGAAACGATTAAATGACTTACTATTTCGGTACAAGATGCGGGAACAGGCTCAATAGACATGAGCTAGAGGAAGTAAGCTCAGACACGCACACAGCAAGAGAAAACACAGATCATGGAGTGAGGGGGCAGGTGGTGCGAGATGATGTGACTCTGTGCCAACAAAAGACGGTTTAACGGTATTTATATAACATCAAATTTGTACAGTCAGGGCCAGCACTCGACAACAAAAGATACCTCAGCTTCTGATTGGAGCTCATCTGCAGGTTCTGCCACGTTGGAAACAATAACCACTGACTCGGTGTATCTCCGCTGCTGGCTCTTCATCATCCAAACAAGCAAACCAAAAACTAGCATACAAAGAGCACGGGATAATATCCTGACAGGAGTAAATAGAAAACCCACATTTATGTCAGATACTGTAAGTCTACTACAAATTGTATCGGTGGACGGTGACTGGCATACAAATGTACACTGCACCAGTACTCCCTTTAATAACCTAAATGAGGTGAAGGTGAGTGCAGGGACGTGTTCCTCAGAACAATGCCTCTCCGAGCTATAAGCTACAAATCTAATGCAACGAGTAGTAGCGCCTAGTAGCAACGAGCTGATAACGTCGCAATTAATTTGTTTTATAGGTCGGTAGATCAGGTGGTGATAATTGCATTTTAGCGGGTACAGCACGTACCCCTGTGCAACACCTCCATCTTCACACCTTGTTCCTTTATAAGATGAGCACTTTCATTTGCACCCAGGTTAGAAGAATAGTCACGTGACCTATTTGCTATTTTGATAATCATGATATTGGCAATCATTAGAGTTGATATCGACTATTGAACTATAGCTGGACCGAACGTAAGGTCGTGTTATGCATAATTCAATATGAAGTACGAATCGGTTTGAAAAGTAAGGATCTGTACGACAAGTAGATACAGGTGATGACTCAAGCTGTAGATTCTGTAACATGCGATGAGTTGCGATTGCAACTACGTTTTCTCATTATAATTTTGCGATCAGCTGAAAAAAAAACTTATCAACGAACTGCACGAGTGTTCAATCTCGTAATATGCTTTTATTGCTGTTGTTAGCAAACACCTTGTACATCGTGATTAGTCTTGAGTGTAACATATGGTTCATTGTTTTGTACATTGCGTTTATTCTATTTTGTCATTAGTTAATTAAATTAACTTCACAGTGAAAGAGGACTTAAGTACAGAATATTTTATAGTTTATTCGATAATTATCCAGAATCAGGAAAATGATGGGCTGAAATAAATTTTTCAACTGGTAGTACTGGTTAATGTTCAATTTTAAAGTTTTTGAGTTATAGGCATTTTAAGCCATAAATTTGCCATTTTTGGCCCTTTTCTATGTATGAATTCTTCTAAGACCTTCGAGGCCAGATTTCATACCTTAAAACTCAAAATTGAGAGGAATACTGTTCCAAAAAGTTGGATATGATTATCAGCTACACTCACAAGAATTTTTGAAGCGATATCTTATGAGCTGGGTGATTGGTAAAATATACAACTTTGTTAGTAGGCAAAAATTTCAATTTTGCTTCTCTCGACCTTGTTTGGTCTGTAACTTCGTCATTTATTGGTGAATTATAAAATCCTTTGGAGAGCTTCTTGTACGGATTGTCAATAATGTTCAATGAAACAATCAGCCAAAAAGCTTTTAAAATGACTGAAATATCGGCATTACAGTGACAGACTTCTCAAAATTGAAAAATATTTCCAAAAAGAAAAACATTTTTTTTCGAAAGTGCGTACTCTCAAAAAAATGTTTCAATGTATCAAATCTTATTGATGTTATCTATACTTTCATAATATGAAGTCAAATCCCGAATCCCGGCAAAAAAGGTTTTGGTGTATGTCCCCTTAACTATCTACATCGCGAAATAAAGACAGGTTATGTCTATGATTTTAAAGTTAACATTTTCTGAATTGGATTTACTAGATGCTTACTAAAACATCAAATATAAGTGTTTGGCATCCCTCTATCAATGAGATTGATATCTGGTGCAGGAGAGATAGATCGCTATAAAAAGTTTACCGACAAAATTAACCAAGCAGAGATATTGTTTCTCGCTTAGGCTTGTTTTATTGTCTTAGGGCGAGTCCGGTCAGTAATCGGTTTAATACGATAATTGCCAATTGAAGATGACCCTCGCCACTTATAACAGCCTACAAGAACGACGATTAAAGGAATGTTTCGGCTTATAATACATTTTGTGTTACTCACGAAATCATGAAATCATTTCAGATGATGTTTTTACGCTTATAATTTTACTAAGATCATGCAAATAATAGCCAATGATCATGTAATTGAAGTCTCTAAAAATAGACCACTCAGCGATCACCCAAACAAAGACGCTAACAGACAAACAAACACACAAACACTCACGTCTAGGGTATCAGAGAGGTTCTCTCCAGCTGGCCGAGTGGTGACATCAGACTCATCTTTATCTCTTCCCCCGAGGGGAGAAGGTCGGGTGCCGCTGGGTTTCGAATCAAGTTCCATTTCCTCCTCCAGGCTCACAATGCCCATGCTGCTGACGTGTGAGATCTGAGAGTACGCACTAAAGGCCGAACTGTCGTCTGCGTTGACCTTCTGCCGCCGAAAACCGTGACCAATCTTTCCGCTGCGTGCTGAGCGTGCCCCGGGGGAGTCACGTCTAAATAATATAGCTCCCTCTTCCACACGGATCAGCTGAGGGATGTTCTGTTCCGGCTGTAAGCCGCCGTCGTTCTTCTTGTCCACCTCATACTGTTTCACCATGCCCAGAAGAGTGCTTGTGTCTATTGGTTTCGGGGGAACTTTGTGGCGTGGACAGGTTCTCGTGGGGGTGGCCTCGGAATTGAACTTGCCGAGGATTTCCTACTGAACATACTTCCTATGCCCTGTTTAAAAGATGTTGGTGGATTGGTCGATGCAGCAGTCTGAGATCCAGCCTCGGTATCTGTAGTAGAGACTCCGTTCCTATCATCAACTAGGATCTTGTCAACGAATGTCACAGCGAAACCCTTGAGTTTACCCATGAACCCGCCACTGGATGGAGGAGCAGATCCGATATTAGCACTTGAGAGTTTACTGACGGTATTGGCAGGAAGGAGCTTGTTGCTGGCATCCCTCTCCTCCATATCCCCGTTCTCATGAAGACTGGGCAGGGTCACGGAACTGTCTGTGTAGTCGGAGAAACTGGAGCCGCTACTCATCGTCCAGTTGGGATCTAAAGGTGCGGGGGTCTGAGAGAGGTCATAGTCGTCATCATGGTCATTGTGGTGGTTGTTTGCAACAGAGTCCTTCTCATATTCCGTGTCGTCTGTGTAACTGGGGGCGGAGGTAGCTCTGTCGCTTGTGTTCTGTGTGTAGGAGTCTGTGTAGGAGGTGAATTCTGACTGTGACCGGGTAGTGCAGGAGATGATGCTGTCCTGAGCTGGAGACACGATGTCCTCGTCATCCTCCTCCTGCTCCAACTTCCTCCGGTGGTGGCCGGGACTGAGAGAGGTCGAGAGTAAGGGCTCCCGACTCTGGGTATCTCGCACGGCAGTACACATGTGGCAGCTCTACAGTACTAAACAGAACCTAGCCATGTAATCGGTCATTATCCTCACTTCCGTCTACCTAGCCTGCAAATCTAGCGTTAGAATTCGGGAAACTGTCCCTGTGCAGTGCACGACAGGTGCAGTGCAAGAATTGGCAACATTACACACACAGAGCAAAACACAAAAAGTAATCTTGTAAGCCGGTAACAAAGTTGGTAAAGACGTACGATGACTAGATTGTGCGTGCTGTAGCGATTATCCTAAATCCTGTGACGGAGCGCTCAGATGGCTGTCAGTGTAACACGACCATGATCTCCTGTCTACTCAGGGTTGAACCTACGCATAAATTGGGATAAATGCGTTGGGTTAAACTTAATCTCTAGCAGGCTCTTGAACAATTTTGTAATTCTTATAATCACCCTCGTGGTTTTGTGACTCAAGGTGGTCACACGGATAACAAGTACAAGATAATACAATAATCATTGATCAGCCCTCATTAGCATGTACGAGGAAAATCATTAGCATCCTGGAAAAATCAGATACGTCACGACGAGATATAATCTTATAATGCGATATAAAATCCCGAAAATCATTACTGATGTGCCTAGTGCCTATAATTATGTAGATAGCATCAAGTACAAGCAAGCATTGAATTTACGATTAATCATAATTATTTTAATTCAGTGAAAGTCCGGGAAGTTAAGTCCTCGAACGCCAATTAAAGAATAAGAAACGCTGGTAGAATAATCTTAGATCATTACCTTGAGTAATTTAATCTTAATTAAGTTCAAGTAAGTAAAACGTGCTGGGATCACTAATGATATGATCATACTTAATAAAAATTAAAATAAATATTATGTACAAACTATGCTATATAACTTCAAGCAAAGTGAATCTTACTGGGGTCGATATCTTAACGAGGTGACGATTAAACGCGAGATACCAAAAGAGAGGCAGCATATATGATAAGGTATGTGTGCTAGATAGCCGGAGTAACCTCCGAGAAGTGGATCTGTACGGGAGAGCAGGAGAATGGCTGGAGATTGTCTTGATTCTTGAGTACTGATATTAGTCGGGGATCTGATCCAGGAAGACGACAGTTAAGCACCAGGGAAACACATCTGATCTAGCACTTGGCGGCAGGCGAGGCAGTGCACTGTACTAATATAAAACGTTATAGTATAAGTGTGTACTTGTACTAGTATTCTGCGCAGGACCTGCAAAACTTGGGCCATTAGGCAGGGTGGACCGACCCTGGCCTGTGTACAATGAATAGGGTGTAAAGAGAGGGAGAGAGAGAGAGAGAGAGAGAGAGCGGTTACACTAACATCTACTGAGCGTGCTCGAGTATTGGACCTGATGGACACTTTGGGTGACAGTTGACACGATCTTGTAATCACGTGTCCGGTAATCAGTTGCCTGGTTATTGCTCACTGTACACGTGTAATTGCGCGCACACGTGCACTGATGGGATGTACTACACGCTGCATGTGAATTATTCAAAACGGTGTTGAGCCCTAACTTGGTGTATTAGCAACAACGTGATCAGACTAGCTAAGTACAAGTAAATGAGTAAATGTAAAGGCCCAGAGTATGTACCTTGGTAATCACGAATACAAGGTATAGTATATGTACCCGACATTAGATAGTGACGTGGCAAGATGTGGTATAGTCAGTACACGACTCAATGATAATTGGCAGGAGATTGTCGTGATGTCCTGGAGTATTCTGATAATTAGCATAAATTAATCATTAATGGGGTATTATCTTGCTCGTGAAACTAGACATATGACAAAGGCATGTCTAGGAATGGCTGTTCCTACGGAATGATGACTACCTTGCCAGCCACTTGCATCGACGGAAATTGTCATGATCAGGAATTATTTTTGATCTTGTTCAATTTTGAGAGTCACGATATGATCAAACGAGTTTGTTGAGTTCAAAGATAATTTTGAGGGTTAAAGAAAATTACCTTAAATCGTAGATTGTTAATGCAGCAAAAGATTCCCTGCCGAGTTATTCACCGTAAAAACTATTTTACAGTGGATAACTATTTTACAGTTATATATTTTGTTTGAAATAAATTTCGTCGTCAAATTTGTAATGTAAATATTGATCGTTATAATTGAATTAATTAATACTATTTCAGAATATGAGTATGACGTAGAAATGTCGATACGTTATTCAGCTATTTATTTCCATTAGAATCTGTCTTCACTGAGTCTATACAGAAACAATCAGAAATTTGAATGAAAGATCTATCAAATCATGAGACTCTATAACACTACACGAATCCACCAGATTACTCTCAAAATGCTCACTGCAAACATTGATAAAAGCTTTTTAGTGAAACGAAAGGAATGTGCAAGGAGATGGAACACAAGGAGATGGGAATGTTATTCATGGTTTATGGTTTAATCATAATCAATCTATACTTATACTCATAGAAATCAATGGAGATGCCCAAAATAGCACTATCTTTTGATTATAAGTCAAAGGTAATTCATCTCGCTGAATTAATGTTATACAAATTTAATTCAGATTTTAATATTAAATGCCATTATTTCAACGCATCACCTTTTCAATGAATTAATTTCCCTTCTCCGTGTTTTCTCTTCTTCAATTAGATTGAATGCAAATTAAAGGTCAAAAAATTTGTCAAAAAATATCGCATAAAAATGATGGATCCGGCAGGCCTTTTGTACCAATACTTGTAGCCGAGCAAAAATTGTAACTTATCGCAGTTTTAGCCGACCTAATCATAGCCGAAGAACATACATCAAAGAAAATTTTGATAATATCGGCAATTTGCATATTGACAGTCCTGTAATGATCAATATTAAAATGTATTTGAGAGAGAACTTGAAATGTTTAAGAAATGCACAAGTTCGATAATTGTCAAAGGTATTCCTCGGTAGGAGGTCCAAAATAAGTGCAGGTAAATAATAAAGATTAGAAAACTATTTATCAATTAACGTGAGTAGATGACAGATAGATTAATATTAGAATGGTCCCAGTTCCGATCCGAAAGCTAAAACTTAAGTCTGTCATGATCTGTAAAGTAAGCCTTTTCAGATCATGACATTATTTTCTTTTGGTATAAATTCTACTTGAAAACTCGATGAACTAAATTACTACTAATAACTAAGATGCAGACAAAAGGAAAGTCGGTCACAAGCTTACAAATCTCTGACAAGATCGTGAGAGAAATCTAGAATCAACATTCATCCTAAGCAAGAATCATCAGTGAGGGATTAGAACTTCCACAGAAGACCTTGTGCCTCATTAGGCGCTTTCTGATTAGGCTTCAATGGCTTAATGAGCTCGTTATACATAACACTCTGATATTCAGTACATAATTAGGAGATCATGGTTTCGTGTGTAACGCCCACCTTCGTGTGTAACGCCCACCTCCGTGTGTAACGCCCACCTTCGTGTGTAACGCCCACCTTCGTGTGTAACGCCCACCTCCGTGTGTAACCCCCACCTTCGTGTGTAACGCCCAGCACACTTTACAGCTTTGTAATTGTGTTCTCGAAAAAAAACAATGAGCTCGACCCAAAAAGAAAATGTTATTTTTCAGAAAATAAAGACTTGGTAGTGACTTGTCTCAAACAGTTCAGAGAAGATCTAAGCTGTCAAGTTGTCATAGTAGCCGCAGGGCCAGCAAATTATATCGAATGTAGGGGCCTAAACTAATTGCATACTCAGGTTAGATCCAACTCATGAGCCGACCGGCCATATCACTGACTGATTATTCATATGACCAGAGAGTGACCACCTCTCTCCGTCGGGTTGAGCTGTCTGTTAATTTAAGAGTTAATTGACAGTTGCGGTCACGTTAATCGTAAAGCGAAACACGGTCACTTCACACATACTCCCGTACGTTAGTCGCCAACATTTACCAATTAAACTCCGCACAAATATCAAATCAATCAGGTCAGATAAACGGAGACACATAAAGTTATACCCCTACACAAGAGCCAAGCGGTTAATAGACACACACCAGCAGATTGATTGAAAATACATAATCACTTGGTTTAGAACAGCTAGCCGCGGAGCAAGAGAACAAAAGCAAGACATATGGTGTCATTGCCTTGCAGATGAAGCCGGGTGATTTGCCTAACCACAAACACATCACATTGCTTACCTAACCACCTTGGAGCATTCGCCCCACTCTCCCTTACCACTACAATAGCTACAATCTACATGCAAATCTAGAGGGATTTATGCATTATCATAATCAGGGGCACATGCCGCGGGACCTCTGGTGCAGGATTGAACAATAGAAAAATGAATGGTAGTCAAACAAGAGCCAGCTATATAAGAGACCAAGGTTAGTTTACCCTACTAAACCGGGAATGATCCAAGGAGCCAAGTCCTTACACTTACCAGTACGAGTAGTGGAGAGAGCACCGTCTTTTGTTACATTAACATTTTAACAGATCAACATGTATTATAGGTTAGACTAATAGTGGCGTTACTTCAGCTATTATCAGGGTTTAAACGGTTAGATTGTTTTACTTAGTCAGGACAAAACAAGAAGATGATAAGAGGAATACTAGTAGTCACAATGGTATATCGTCAGGACTTATGATAAGAGCAACTACTCATGACTCTAAACAATGGGATTGTTGCAAATTTTCCGTTTGATATCGAAATTAAATGAATGTTAGTCTCCTGCTCAAAGATGTTTGCCATTTACTAATTAATACAAATTGAAACTTTGCTGTTTTAAAACAGAACCGAGGTATTTTCTCTGTTAAAAATGTTGGGTTGAGTGCCGCTCTGACATCGGCCAGTTATTTTCCCTTTATGTCGATGTAAGTGGAATATAAGCACTGTTTCAATTCATTTCATTTCAAGTTTTTTTAGCTTTCCTACTGACATGGTAGGTTTTGAAAGTCGCCTTAGAACCAAAGCAACCGAGATTTCAACGAATTGGCGCAAATGGGAACTAAGCACATAGCCTATAAACTCGGTATATATTTAACGGAACAACAAAATTAGAGAAGGAGAGGGAGAGGAAGAGGGGATCCGGATATATGGTGTTGTATAGGACTGCAACTGGTATATGAGTTAATTGCTCAATGATGAATTGCAGATAACAACGAATCATACAAACAATCATCTAGTAAGCCAAACGAATCAGCTTCCATTTTAAAATTCTATGGTAGAACTTCATCCGTCTACTATCAATAACCTCGTCTTATACGATTTGTTTTAAGTAAAAGGACTGAAAAATATTTGTGCCTATGTTTAGGTTGGGCAATGGTAAATTTATGACTCCTCCATCTTTGAGGAGTATAATTTAACGTCATTGTCTTGAAATTGTCAG